TCAAGGTATTAAGAAGAAACTGGAAGAACTGTGCCTACAATGTAGAAACCTTGATTTAAAACACCTGCACCACACTTTACCACAAAAAATAGGGAGTTAAAGTCTCTTTCAAACTATGTAGAAAAGCTAGTTTCAGGAAACACTGACCTGGGATCTTTTTATTTAAAAAAATGAAAAAAAAAAGGAAAATTAAGGATTGTCAGTATAAACACTAAACTCCAGTCAATAGCTATATTAGAAAGCATGGAAAGTAAGATTTTACTCCAACTGCTCAATATTGATAATAATCCAGAAAATGAGTATTAATTAAAAGATGCAATTTGGTTCCCTAAGGTCAAATGTAACAGAACATTTCTAAAATGATATAACCTGGAGAAAAGCTGATAATATGATTAAATTCTACCTTGTGTACATACTCAGTAGATCACTGTAAAAGATAACAGTGGAATATGTTTGCCAGTTTTATAGAACAGCCGTAGGCTTAAACATGTATAAGCTAATTTTAATGTAAATATTAACATCTTTATAAAGCAATATATCGCAAAAGGTGAAATCAAACAGCAAGTGCCAATGAGTTCAGGTAACAGAACATCTTTTTTGATCATTTTCTTCATTTATGTTCAGGCATTTGCAAATCACACATAGATAACCAACTGTACAACACTGTAAAATAAAGCAAAAACTTTTTTCTATTTTTAATACATGTTAAATTTTAATAACTGGCTTGAAATAATATAAAAATGACACCCATTGAAAGTGCTGTCATGTTTCAGGCACCCTAATTCAACTTATTGTCTAAAATGTGAATCTTGTACAGTCACTAATTTCAAGGCTTCAGAGAATATTTACAAAGAGCACAATTCCTTGCAGCCCTGGTATTTTTAAATGGTAGTAGTCTACCTTCTTTCCTTAGTCAGAAGGGGGAAAGGGAGAGAAAAAAGGAATAAGGGACTTCTCTGTAGAAAGACTTGGCCTTGCAGTCAGTGCTAGTGATCTTGGATCGATGCCTTTTTATTTTCTTTCAGGAATAAATCTGCGCAATGGAATGGCTTGCAATTGTCCGGCCAACCAGCCATATCAGATTTATCAGAAAGAAAGAATGAAAACTGGCTCAGAGGACTCCTGCAGTGGTTGAATGGCAGGTTGCTGGGAAAGGCACTCACAAAAAGAATACACTTAACTGGTGCAAGGGAAAATATATATTCACATGTGTAAACTCAATAAATAATAAGATGTAAAGAACCTATAGTAATGGAAAGGGTGAATGCATAAGACAGATGATAAATAGTACTTCTATTTAAGAACCAAAGGGATGAAAGCTCATGAATACTAAATATCTGAATCCACTTTAAGGAGGAGATATGATTTTTCCTCAAATGAATGCAAACTCTAAAAATCAGCCAATTCAGACTTACTGTATTCAGGTTAGAGTACAAAATACATAAATCTTCCATGGAGTGCATGCCCTGGTAAATATTCTAACGTAATTTCTTAATTAAGACACATTTCCAGTGACTAAATGAAAATATATATAAAGCAGTAAGTACCTTGATTTAAAAAGAAAAAAGTGACTTCTGTGCATGCATGATTAAAATAAATAAAAGCAGTTTAGTTTACAGGAAAATGAATCACAAGACTAGGAATCATGATAACCAGTCATTCAATTTTGTCGTAACAGTCCATATATGGTATTTTCAAGTGATTTGCAATTACAGTAATAGATATAAACATACCTAGAAGCATTCTGAAAAAAATACCTTCTAAAAAGGCCCATTTTACATATATATAAGAATTTCAAAATTTAAAAAAAAAAGGAAATAGCATACCTATGGGTATGCTTACAGTAAACTCATATAGGAAAGAGGACAGATTTTTCTAAAAATATATTTAACATCTTTTTCATCATTTAAGTTTTGTTAACCTTTTTCTTCTTCTATATTAAACTAATTTTGGATATAAATACATTTTAACTATTTGGGGAAATGTATATTATTTTGTAGAATGCAAAGCAGGACCAAGTTACTTGCAAATACGAAAAGGAAACTGAACTTGTTCATCACATACCTATTAAGGTATGTAAGAGCATCACTTCTATACTACTATATGTTGTATTCCAATACAAAGGTGAAATTATTTTTCAACAACACCAGGAAGACAGAAATGTTGTAATTCCTCCTTTTGGTGGTAAAAGCTTTATAATAGTCACATAAAGAGCCTTTGGCTATAATAGTTCTAGATAAAATCAATCACTGGAAATGAGACAAATTCCTTCAGAATTAGTAAAAATCCTATTCTCTAAACTGATTTTTCTTTTCCAAGCAAAAGGAGGGGGAAAATAACATGTCCTTTTCTGTTACAATTATTTTAATAACTATCTTAAATCTATACAAAAGAATCTCCCTCCCCCATATTTTTATTCCGTTCACATAGAGCAGTAAATAAGGTGCATTCCTTCTGCTTAAGAAATTAGCATTTCAAAAATATGCCACTTTCCCCTGAACTCCAAGCGTGTCTAATAATGCGAGAAGCAGATTGTCTTCCCTCGTTTCCTTAATTTGTTTCATCTAAAAGCAATTCACTCAACATCTTGTCGCCCTCTGGCAGCTTAGTTTACTTATCCGCGCTTAATTTCTCATTTGGACCAAAACAAACTCCTCCAAACTGCTACTGACGGCTAACTGCGCGAGCGGAGACACGCAGTATGTATTTACTTGGGAACATAACACCATACATATACAGACCCAAACACACAGAGCGTCACTCACACCCCAGACAGTAACTTGGTTTTATAAAAGCAGTGCAGGAAAACCAACTGAACTTTCCCTGCCAGGTGCGACAGGGTGGGGGTGGGGTAGGATGAAAAAAAAGTCTGGAGCATTTACAGTTTCAAGTGGATCACCTTAGTAGGCGTGTTGCAGTTACACCAAGGATGCACCCGAGAGCTTTTCTTTGTGCGGCCCTTTCATCTAAATCACTTTGTGTTCTGAACAAGTGAGGCTCGCCTTTGTGCCCCCAGAATTTCAAGTACAGAGTCACACACGAAACAATGGCACGCTAATCCTCGCGCTCTAAATGGGCTCACTTGTGGGTCCGACAGTTCGCGGGGGGAAGCGAGAAGAGCCGAGCGAGGGCGCGAGCGGGTGTCGCCTGAGACGAGCAAGAGGACAGCTGCAGAACTAATTTGGATTACATTCCTTGCAGAAATTCTGAAAAGGGCTTTTCGGCATAGCACAACCACGAGCCGCACAGTTAATACCAAATTGCTGCGAACTCGGAGCCGGGTCCCCCAGCGGCTGAGGCTGAACCAGACAGCCCTCAGTAGGTCGCCTCGTAGACATTCCTCTCGCCTAAGCGTGCATGTCAGTCGCAACTGCTTTTGAATGGGTCAATGTGCATAATCAGCCCATTGAGGGAAAATATGAAGGGACTCGGAGTGGAGAGGGAGATAAAAAGGGATGTATCTAAGAGGCCGCCTGGAATCTCAAGTCTGGGTTGGTGTAATTCCGGAGGTGGCTAGAGCGCGGGACCTGGTATGCATGAAGAATTTCAGAGTGATTGGGAGAGTGCAAACGGCTAGTACAAACGGCGCACACTGTGCCATTCGAAGGTCATTCTGAAAGGCTGGACGATTGTAACTTGTTCTTTACTAGTCAGGGAGGAGGCGCGGGGCGGGGGCGGAACGGGAAACTACCTCGCGCTGTTTTCTCGGTGAGGTCAGCAGGACACCCTCCCCCGGCCTAAGGCTCTCCTATCTCCACTCCCGGGGGCTTTATCTCCTCTGAGCTGCCTCCCACCCTCCCACGAGCAGCCTCCGATGGTTCTGGCAATTTCTCCCCCTCTCCAAAGGCCCCCTTGGCTGCGTCAGTCACCGGCTCTCCTCGGTCCCTTCCTGTCCCACTTTCATCCCCAGGGAACTCAAGTGTCAGAAACTTTGAGCTCCCTCGCCCTGCAGGGGCTGTCATTAAGCCCTGCCGGGCGCGGAGCGCAGCCCCAGCGTGCTGCCCCGGGGGTTAATCAGCTTTGTGTCTGTCCAGGTACCTGGGGCTCCAGCTCTCCGACCACCAGTGGCCACGCGGCCGCGGCCGCCTCAGGTTAAATCAATTCTCGCAGCGGGTCGGCTCGGGTCGGCTCGCCAACCGCGCTCCGGGCAGTAAACAGGGAAGTTGGAGGGACTCCGGCCAATTGCAAGTTGAACTACAGGAAGAACTCTTCCTGGAGCCAAACGCAGCAACAGACGGGAAGGCCATGCTCCCGGCTCCAGTGTGTCAAGCTTTTTTTTTTTTTTTTTTTTTTAAAGAGGTCAAGCAGGCAAGCAGGCTCCGCTCCAGTCAGCGGGGCGAGGGCTCGGGGACGCGGGCCGAGGAAGCCTGGAGTCCCGGAGGCGCGCCCTCCCGCCGCGCTCCAGCTGCCCAGGCTGGGCTGCGGTCGGGTCTGACCCCGCGAGCTCGCGCGGCTGGGGGCGCGGCGGCCGCCGGCGGCACGCACAGGTGCAGAGCCCCGCTCTCGGAGCGCCGCGCCGCACAGTCCTCCCGCCTACAGGAGGCCCAGCCGGCATTGCCCCGGGACCCCAGCGCCCCCGGCGCCGCGCGCTTCCCCGAGGCTCTTTCCTTTGGGGTCCCAGCCGCGGGGAGGACCATCTATGTCCTCGGCTCAGGTTTTGGGTTTCCCACGTCCCGCACAACAGGCGCAACCAGGGATCCCGCTTAGGCTCACAGACAACGCGCGAGAAAGAAAAGGGGGTTACGGAGAGATACAAGGGACAGGGTGCGGGGTGATTTTTCACTATAAATAAAACACAGGTACACACAGAGGGTAAGTTTGGCGATAGGAAGAGGGGCGAATGAAAGCCCAAGGAAGAGACGCCGGCGAAGCGATGTCCCCACGCTCGGGACCGAGCGCGTCTCCGTTTGGGCAGAGGGGACGAGGGAGCCACCCGCTGAGGCCAAGCCCGCGGCAGCAGGTTCAACAACGGAAGCGCTGGAAGGAAGCGCGCGACCCACCTGATTGAGAAGCGCTGGGCTGGACGGTCTCCGCCGCCACGAGAAGGCTCACCCAGACCCACAGTCCTGTCGCCAGCTTCATTTTTTGGCAGTCTCAGATTCCGTGCTGACAATCACATGTCCAAATGGCATATCCCCTTTCGGGCACGCGGAGGAGATCCCTCAGCCCGGCGGGCGTCGGGGCGCGAGGGGGACCGGCGCGCGGCGCGCGCGGTGCAGGGGCTCCGAGCGCCGGCGACCCTGTCCGCGCCCGCTGGTCCCGGGCCGGGGACCCGAGGAGCGGAGAGGGTGCGCGCTTGTGGGCGCGTGTGGGAGTGCGCTCGAGTGTTTGCGCCCGGGCCCCGGGCCGGACTGTGCAGCTATTTCCCCGTGGGAGCCTTTGCTTTCTCGCTCCCTCTTCACTTTCTCTCTCTCACTGGTTGATCAACAATGAAAAAAAGGAAGGGAGAAAAAGGTTTCCAAAAAAAGTTGATTGCAGAGAGGCGGTATGTTTCCGGCCTCTCCCCCCGGACGGGCTATGTTCGGCTCCCTTTTCAGTTTCCTTGCACCTCCAGTCCAAATTGGGAGGGAAGAAGAGGGGGGAAAGCTGCTTGCTTCTCCCCCGATCCTGTCCTTCTTTTTCCTGTCAGCTTTCCTCACACTTGTCCGGCGGCTGCGGTAATTAAAGCTCCGAGCGTCATTTCCAACGCTCCGCGGTCTCCAGCTGCAGCCCCACAGAGAAATTAATAAGACTCCCGGAGCAAAAAAAGGTGTTGGGAAGGGGGGGCGGATAAAACAACCCTCCACGCAACCAGGCGGGCTCCCTCTCAGCAGCGCAAACCCCGCCCCCGCTCTGACCCAACTAGCCACGCCTTTACTCCCGCCCCCCCCAAAAGGGAAATCTTATTGGCTCAGCCACTCCCCAAAATCCTAGGCCTCAGGAGTTGGGAAACACCTGTCTGGGTGCGGGCTCATGCTGCTCAGGGCGGAGAAAGCTGGATGTAAATGCCTCTCCCGAGGCCACAGACCGAAACAGAAGCCCTACAACTTCTGGCCCTTGGAGTGCACAAACCACCTGCGGGATGCTTGCAGATTTTTTTTTTATAATTTAAAAAAAAAAGTCATCTTTTTCTCCATTGCCCTATGGTGCAGAAGTAGAAAAGAAAATGTTGCTTTGGGCATAAAGCCTCCACTGTTCTTACCCTTCATGCTCCACACTCATAAAGTAGTTTAAAAGGTGGTTCAGTAATTGGTAGTCTTCAAATTAGACTGGTCTAGGGATATGCCTGTTTTCCCCAACTATGTTGTCTCTCCCACCATTCCCACCTTCCCAAATTAACCGACACTGAGTCAAACTCTAGTTCTATATTTGTAGAGTTGCATCCTTTGTTTTTCTTTTAATTTTTTATTTTTAATTAAGGTATTATTGATATACACTCTTATGAAGGATTCACATGAAAAAAAATGTGGTTGCTACATTTACCCATAGCATCCTTTGGTTTTTAAACTGTACGGGTCTTTTCACTTTTCCTTTGGACTCCAGGTGAACTTGGTTTGGGATTCATTCTCATTAAACAGATTCTAGTCCAAAGCTATAGATTCGGTCCGAAAGGACTAGAAATTGTCCCAGGCCTGAGCTGTCCAGTCTAAAAGAAATTAAGAAGGCCATGGTCAGGCCATAATCAACTTCAAATAATTTGTCTTATTCCACAGTTGACCCAGCTTCCATGTTTTCCCTCTGCAAATTCACACCAACCAATCCCCAGGTTATTGCCAGCTATGGGAGTCTCTGAGCTTTCCTTGATTTAAACTGTCCTGGGACTGGGTCATACCAGTGTGCATATCCCTTGCCTTTTACAGCTCTGAAACTGTACCTTTGGCAGAAGCCAGAACCTCCAGCAGGTAGTAGGTTATTGGTTTGCTGTTTGCACAGGCATTTTCTGGGTGAATTATTTTCCTTTTTCAGTTTCTCTAGAAGCAGCAAATGCATAAATAAAATGTATCAGGGGAACTGAAAAATCAAGCCACCTCACTCATCACTTGAGACCTTCCCATTCTTCCCTTACATCTTTTATCTGTAGCCTAGTCCCATAAGAATTTAAGCTGAGAACGGAGAAACATTAGCCTCATCCCAGAAGTCTGAAATCTTCCCTTTAGTTGACCCATAGCAAGTAACAGGCTCTGAGAAGAGGCCAAACAAGCTGAGCATGCTGTTTTACCCAGAAGCAGCCTCGGGCCAGGAGAAACTAAGCCTAGAGCAGATGATGGTGACTGGACCAGAGTGGTACTGATTGCAACAGAACCATGCACACTGCTCTTTGGGCTTATCTTTACTTTCTATTTTTATCACCCTCTCCCCTCTGTTTTCTTCCATTCAATCTCTTCTCAGTCCCCTTTCCTTAAATCTCCTTCTGTTTCTTATAATGACTCTCAGATACTTCTCTTCCATGGAAGTTACTGCTTTTTAAAATTTCCATTCTGTCCCCAGAATAACAAGTGATTAAAAAAAAACTTACTGCTTTGGGAAAAGTTTGTTACTCTGTTTAAAAAAAAAGGAGAAGAAGAAACCTTGCTTTTGATAACAATGTGGCAAGAAGTGAAGAAATTTGGGGGGTATTTTAGCTTAAATTGAGGGAAAAATTAAGTGCTGTGGATTTTTTTTTCTATTTGTGTCCATTGTGACAGTTTTTACTCTTCCGTCAATGTTATAGTTCTTCTGTGGCAGGAACTCTCTTATGCATTTTGGTCTCACCCATGCATCTAAAATAATTGTTAGCATCATGAGGGATTTCAATTAATATTCATTGGCTTAAAAAATCTGCAAAACTTAGTCAATATTTTTCGAATGCCAGATAGCCCATACAAGGTATTCACCAATTAAATCACCTGACACACCCACAGTTTGCTTTAATTCTCAGTTTGTTCTGCCTTGACCCCATTTTCCTGGTTCTAACTGACTGAAATAATGATTGATTCCTGGCCAAAGTTAGGTATCTGAAAAGCAGCCTATAAAATGAACTGGCATTCTCCCCAACGAAAGCACCCTGTATTTGATGGTGAATGGTCTACCCAATCAGAATCTTGTTCAAGTAATTTGAATACAAGACCCTGAAGACTTAGGAAGGTGGTAGCTTGTGTGGACAAACTGGAAGAATGAGAAAGTAGAAGCTATGAACTAGAGTCAAGAATTAATTATTTCTGTGCCTTCTCTCATTTGCTTCCCATCTTAACTAAATCATCATAAGAAAGGAGCTAGATCTCTGGATTTCTTCACTTTCCCATGTATCTTCATAATAAATAAATCTCTGTCAGCTGAGTTAACTAAATTATGTTGCTGTTACTGCAACCTGGGAAAAAACAAACCTGAGTAATCCAACATATTCCTTAGCAAACCACAGATGAATATCTGGAATTATCTGCTCAGTACCCTTCTTCTCAGAACTGCCCTTCCCTCAGTTCTGCACGTTCAACTTAGATCTGCCTCCATGGTACAACCACCACACCCTCTTGTTCTAAGTTGGACCAAACAAAATGCCTTGACAACTGTTGATTAGTTGAGAGATGATTACTCCCACTGAGTCTCTTACCTGGGATTTTTATGCATAGGAAAGAAAGAGCTCTTATTCAGTCATTCACTATTAGCTTTTGAGATATAAAAGTGCAGAGCTGGCCTGTCTGTTTCCTTCTGGGTAGGGATGACCAGGCTGCAGTAAGAAAGAATGAAGCTGCCATCTGAGAGAAGCAAATGACCTAATAAGCCTGGAAAATATTTAAGCTCTTCCCACAGCTTTGTTATTCAAACCCCCTTTTTCCTTAAGCTAGCTCGTTTCATTTTTGTTACCTGAAACAGAAAAGTATGAAATGGTAAAAGAATTTCTCCAACTTGAGTGAGATCATAGTGGTCACCATGCCTCTTGAGGAAGAGGATCTCTTGCTATGGCCCATATTCTTCAGCTTCCTTTCCCAGTTTCTCATAATTTCTCTTGGCTGAAGCCATAACCCCAACATAAAGACTCCTTTGGCCTTTGCTGTTTCCCTGTATCCCCTTTCCCACTTCCTTTTTCCCATTAGTAACAGATTTCAAGGAGAGTCTTGACATCATGAGTGACAGAATACTGCTAGAAAGAGAAAGGAACATGTTGATCTCAGAGTTTGTTGTTGAAATAGATTCCTAACTTTGTCCTGGAGTCCTGTAGCTCACTCCAATCCTCAGCCTGATTCTAAGACTTCCCTAAGGTAAAATTAGAGTCTACTGCTTTAGACATTTTACAGTCAGCCATAAATATAAATATAAATTTGTAACAAATATCAGCTAAAAAAAGAAAACAAATCCCTCTTAAATCAATGATCTCCTCCAGAACATTTTAAAATAGAGGATTCTAATTTCCCTCTCTTCCCACCATCATGTTCCTCTTCATTCCTCTAAGTTATCTGGACATCATGAGCAACTCATTTCACATGCCTGAGCCCACTGCCTCATCTGTAGAGGGATTGGTATGTCATCTGTCCTAAATCTAAGACTTCATGAGTCTATGATTTACTGATCATCTACTATGCACAAGTCGCATCTTTCACAAACCAGTTGTTCCCTATATTCGTTCCTCTTTTTCCTCAGTTACCCACCCACACCTCTTCATCTGGAGCATCAGTACAACCACATCTTAAAATGCCTTATTAAAATATACAAGTCAGCTCACTAGTATATTACTGTGAAGTGCTCAAGACTTTGGATCTTGACTATTCTACCATCCAAGAAGAAATTTTGGTAAATACCAATCAGATTCAGTATTTCAATGATTAAGCAGATGACAGATGCAGGGTTGGTGGGATTTTTTTATTAACTGCCACTTGAAATAATATTTTGCTCTTAATCCTATAAGAGTTCTGAAATGTCTGATATTTTGGTGATGTTCAATGTTTCAAAGCTTAAAAAAGAAAACTATATAGCTCAAGTATTTTTAAAATGCGGAATGTAGATCAACTAAAGAACAACTTTTGTTACCTTAGTTAATTTAATATCCAAAGAGGACCTCTGCTGAAGTATCTTATTTAGTTTTCTTCGTAGGTGAATGATTAAGCCTCAATTTTTTAAGTGCTAAGGTAAATTACTGAACATAAGCAAATCAAATCTCTGTTGCTTTTATGTCCATTAATCAGTGTCTGTCCAAGTTCTTACTGACATTTTTGTTTTGTGGTTGAAACTGGAAAACAATTTCAAACCTGTGGACAGAGTAGCCTTTTCCAACAAAGTTATGTAAAAATGATTTTCCTAGTAAAACCTTTTCCTGTTGTGGGTCTGCTTTATGGAAGCCGATATATTTTCTTAAAGAAGTTCTTGGACCCACATTCGGAAGCTTAAAGATAAAGAAAACCTTCAGTAAGAGTTGCCAACTGAAAATTAAAAAGAAAAGAGACACTTTGTTTTGCATGTTTATGTATTTATAAATAAATTAACTAGTGAGGTTACTTACTGAGGCCATGATTGTACCCCACCTGAAATCTGAACCAAGATAAAATTTGTTAGTTTCTCTTTCAGGTAGCCTCTTCATGGTGCACCTCCTGCCTTCTGTATTCTTAACTTGGCAAAGAGCTCCATCATATTATGGTGAATACATAGATTTCTCAAAAGAATCCAAAGCTTTGCTCACAAAAATGGATGTTATTCCCACTAAAGTCACAAAGTGTTCTTAGAATGTTTATTGAATTCCTGCCAAATAGTCAACTAATCATTTAAAAACTGTGTATTTTCTTCTCAGGTTTGTATGGAGATGGATAAATCTCCAAAGCTTCAGCAAAAAGGTTCTAATAGTTC